TCCTATACATGAAAATTCTGACGAAGCAATAACTTCAGTAGTTTTGACAAAGATATTATGAGTTTCAATTTTTTTTTCTATGTGAAAAAATCGTTCTAGTTTGTTCGGTAAGAAGAAAAAAATGTCTTTTTTTTGCTAACAGACTACCAATAAGAATATGTGTTAGACGTGTAAACTCTTGGCTAGTGAGAATCAATTGAAATGTAATAGACTCCTTCCTATGTAGTCCAAGAATAGACCAAGAAAAAATTTACTTGCAGAATGACTATTATCATATCAGTTCTCTGTGATATTCATCGCTCACTTTACTATGTGTCATAATCTACTGTTACTACATGCATTGTCCTTCCTTGTTTCGTAACTATGTTTATGATTAGTTAGTTCATCACTTGTTGTGACAACACCAATATTGATGTTCTTCTTTATGATTACCTTTCTTGTTATCCTTGTCTTACTCTTCGTATCTCTCTCTCCTATTTCATTTTCCTAACTGCATATATAAAGGCGTACTTTTACATGGAAGCGATTAGTCTAAAAATATAAAGAAAAGGAATTAAATATAATTACATCGACGCAGCCACATTCTCTTAGGCCAATATTTCTTTCAGTGATCTATTGTCTACTACGGGTGTGAGTGTAAATGAAGCGAGATCCATACTCACAATTACACCTACAGTCACACCCACATCCACGAGGCACATTGAGTACTTGAATGCAACTTTCAAGTTTGACATACTCGATAACTCTGTAAATATAGATATAAGTGAAACAGTCAAAATTGGACAATATTAAGTTTCTTGTATCTGGAATACATCTGAAACATTTTTTTTATTCAGTTGATTTCATATTAATGAAAGAAAATTTTGAAAAACAAAAGAAAATCGCATAAACAAAGATATGTTTGATAAAAATTAATTATTGAAAAGAGAACTTGGATAGAAATACATCTTTTGCATCCATAAATCGAACAGAAACCTTTTCAAAACGCTTTATAACATTTAAATCATGATTTAAATCAATATTATGTGATAACTCATGACAAGTAATCATAAAATAAAAATTAATGATTGTACGAACAATAGGAGTTGATGATGATGATAATTTAGAATTTTTCAGATTAGATTTTAGATCATCGAAAAAGACTTGTTCAAAATAACGGAGATTGAAAAATAATGCGCCATTACTGTTGAAAGCAATACGAGCTAAAACAAAAAAAAATGATACACCTTGACTTTGATTATATAAAATCTTTATACCACTATCAATATCACGAAATAAATGCATTGTTTCTACAGGTATATTAAATACTTGTTTTGCAAGACCAGATAATAACCAAGCAAGATGTGTAGCTTGTTGAATCAAAACACTTGTTAATTTTAGATTTTGATCAATATAGAGAGGAATTTCATGAAGAATTTTATCATAACGAATCATATTTGCAGCCGGAACACATTCACATGATGTATTATTTTCATTTATAAAATGTTCTTGTTGATAGAATTCTTGTTGAGAATATGATCGACTTGCTCGAATCATTGTGTTTATAGCAGCATCATCTTCTGATTTATACCGTCCAAAATGATCAATACGATTTATTTCAACTGTATGTGCAATATTTGATTTTGTTTTCTCAGCTTGTAATAATAACTTAACCGCTATAAAAACAAAAAAAAGTTGCTTTTTTAATTTCTACCATATCACATAAGATAATGTTAACATTACGTTGTTGTTCTGAAGTTTTCAATAATCGATCAACAGGTATTCCACGTCGTTTAAGTGTTTCTAATGGTGAAGTAAGTTTATCACTGATTGAATGAACTAATGTATCTACTGATTTTTTACAGACAAATCTCATTAATTCAGTAGCAATATCAATGTAATCAAGAGTAGAAATATCTTTGTGAATGTATAAATATACTTTAGTTTCTTTATGTTCAAGCGCACATGAACTATATTCTATAGGCTTTTATTTAGAAAAGAAAAAGTCTTATTATTATAAAACTTAAATAAATATTTATTTTTGATCAATCTTACATTTAATGTGATTGTTTTATTTTGTAATTTTAATTGCCACTGAATATCTTCAGTTTCATAAACAGAGAGTTGCTTTCGTAATAACTCCAAACGTTTTAAATCAGTTTGTTCCAGATATTCTCCCTGAAGAAAAAAAAACATTTTATTTAAAATATCAACAAACAAAAAAAAAGGATACATACTCTATTATTAACAAATAACATATCTAAACGATGAAGAATTCGATTATGTAATTCTTTACTTCTATCCGTTATAATTTTTTTTCTTAAGAAAACAAAACAAAAACAAAATTTATTTTTATGATATATTTTGTTATAAACATAAACCTAGATTTATTAAAGTTCGTTCAACACAATCGGATATCCATTTTGCACCAAATTTTTTATATAATTGAATTAATTGCTTTTCTTCAGGTGCACATAATGGTCGAAGTTTAATAGCATATTGATTATCATCATCTAAATAAATATCACTTGGTTTCGTAATTTGAAATTCTTGATATTTAATTTCATTGGATCCTTCCGGAATTTGATAAGCTAAACACCATGGTTTATTAATTAAACGACTACGTAATGGTTCAACATATAATTGTTGTGTTGTATTTGATACAATCGATAATTGCATTAAACAATTTGTATAAAAACGTACTTTAGCTGATAGAACTTGATCGCTCGTATCTTCATTTCGCTTAAAATATATTTCTTGTCGATCAATAAGTAAATCAGCAAGATTTTCTGCTGATGGAAAGTGACGAACTCCAATATTAAGAAGAAATGAATTAGCCTCATCACTATAATCTATATAATCAATAAGACCACGTGCTATTTCATCATCGAATACATTATTATTATTATTATTATCTTGAGATATTTTATCGGTTGTTGAACTTTTTGAACGAATAAATACTTGTGATGGTTTACAATAGATATTGTTTTCTTAAATATATTATATCGTATGTTTTCTTAAAATAATAAAGAAAAAAAATTAACAAACCTGATAGAGGAATAAATGAAATATTTGAAATATTTTGAATAAATGTTGTATTCAGACCATCTAACGTATTAAAATAAGCAAAATATATTGCAGCAGTTTGATACGTTAATAATTGATTTCTTTTTTTCATTAGTATATTAAAAGCTATGGATAAGGAAGGATGTTTTTCAACACCAAGTAAACTAATATTAAAATATTGTGAAAAATATCGAAGTACATCAGGAAGCAAACATGGAAATATTGGATTTGGTTCTAATTCAAAAAAACAAAAGAATAGTTCCAAATTAACAATAAAAAAAGCTTAATACCGAAACTAACCTTGAAAAATAATTTCAGGTGTTCTTAATATAACTTTTGTTGAATGATTGACATAATAAGTAGATGATGGAAGAAAAAATTTTTCAATATCTGACTTTTTCCATACTTTGGAATAATGTTCTTGAAAATTTTCTGCAAAAAATATAAGTGATTTTGGTAATTGATAATTGGATATTTTTTTTGATCCATATTGATGTTCTTGATCAATTCGATTCAATAATTGATATAAATCTGGTACTTCTCTTACACCAAGTTCTCTAAGAAAAGAATATTCTTGTGAATGTGGATCAATATCTATCCAATCAATTATGGGTAATTCGTTCCATTGAAGACGAATTGCTACTGATGGAAAATGAAGATCACTTGGTTTATATTTATGTTTCATTTCATTATTCGACTTTAACGTTGTTCCTATACAAGAAAATGAAAAAAAAAACATTAAGGGAATTTATTTCTAAATTAAAATTGTAATGGTTAACGCTATTCGAACGATTCTAAAATGTAGGAAATAATATAGCTATAGTTGTGAGTGCAGGAAAGGGTACAGGGTTAGTTAAGCTTTTGTAAAGATTTGTGGCAGTGATTTATATAGTGGGCGAGCTGGATAGGCGGGCACCCCACCCGAAATTTTGATTCGTCCACTTGGGAAACGAAATCTAGATAACTCATTGGTCTATGATCGTTTCTGATTAAAACCTGTCTTCGTCAGACACTATATTTAGATGATGTTTCACAAAATTAACCTGTAATAGATTGATTATGTTTTAATGCATGAAAATCATTGTCACTCATATGTTTACGTTGTTTTAATAAATCTTGAATAAAATGTTCAAGTATTTGTGAATTGTTTGTTGAAATATTTGATTCAATATGACAAGTATTTGTTAATGTTGGTATATAAATTGTTCGACAACCGATTGATCTAAGAAAATCAATAGATACTGAATAATCTATTGATTCTTGTTTTTCTTCTTGGTTATTAGATTTCTCAAGTGATGGAATATAAAGTGTAATTATAGGTAAATCAGGAGATAAATTTAATGATCGAATATATGATTCATTCGGTGATTTCATACCTTGACTTGTTGGAATACATTCCATATGAGATAAACTATTTTTTATTTTATTTAATTCAATATCATTAAATTGATTCCAATATTGACAAATAAAACTAAGAAGAATTTTAGATGTATTTTCATTATGAAAAAGTTGTTGTTGATTTTCATTGGGATAATATTCAACTAAATTCTTTGGTGATATTGCTGATAATGATAATCGTGTTTGTAAATTTTCACGAGATATATGACCAGCTATATTCGATGGTAATACATTGGATGGCAATGGAAGAGAACATATATTTAAAGTATGATAAAATGTAATATTTTCTAATTTAATAATACATGATTGATGAGTTTCACGATAATGGATTTTCGAAAGAACACGCTTTATATAAGATTTATCATTATTATCTATATCATATTTACATAACCAATGAAGTAATTCAATAAATTCATTCAATAAAAAAATCGATTGATGAATTTTAAATAAAATTGTTTCATTATCAATTTCTTCAATCCATTGATGTTCTTTTAAAACTTTAAAAAAATTATGTTTTCCAATAGTAAAAGGAACAAGAGGTATAGGAAGAAATTTTTCAATATGTTTAGAATTTGTTAAAAAAGCTTGTGTTGATGAAATTAATGAAAGATAAGTATGTGATGGAGATTGTTTTACTGGAACAAGAATATCTTCATTCGATGAAAAAAATCCATCAAGAAGAAAATCACCTGCAAAAAAAACACATATATATATACCGTTGAATAATATGAAAAATTGATATTCTGCTACTAACTAATATCTTTATTTGGTGCTGATGTTTGAAATGCATAAGAAGCAAGAATAAGATTGAGTTGTTGATTGATTTCCTGTTGAATATTATTCTCAATATCAAGAATAGTTTGATCATAAATAAATCTAATAATTTTTCCAATTGATATAAGAAGTTGTTCATTCCAAATTGAAATATATGGATCTTGTAGATCAATATTTTCACGTTCAATTGTTGGAATAAAAAGAGTAAATAAATGCATACCAATACCTGTTGTTTGATGTGTTGCTGAACCAATAAATATTTGACCAGATGGAAAAATTTCTTGATTATGAAATTTTAATGGAATTAATTCTTTTAATATTTGATTATTTAAATTATTATTTATTAATAATTTCGATTCTTGTTCATCAAATATCTAGAAAATAACAAAAAAAAAAAAACAAAGAAAGACAGAGAATTTTATATAAAAAAAAAAACCATAGAACAAACTTTAGTTGATGGAAATAAAAATTGAATATGTAAAATTGAAGGTAAACTCTTTTTAAGAACATTTTGAATTTGTTTATGAAAATTTTTATCAATGATTAATTCAGCTTGAATATCAATATGATTAAATGTTATTGATGGACCATTATGAATAGAAAATTTTTGTTCCGTTTGTGTCAATGAATTAAATCGAAGAAAATTATATGTTTTATTTAGTATAAACTTATTTGCTGCTATTGATAATTTAGTTGATAAATTTTGTTTTGTTTTATTAACTTGAAAAACTATTAAACCATTTATTTTAATAATTAATTCATTGACATATTTAGTAAAGGAAAGAATTTTTGTAAAAAAAAATTTCAGTTGTATTAAATCCATTGTAGATACGGTTTCATTTGTAAGTATATTTTTATTTGATTTTGTTGATGTCTGAAGACTATTATATGTTTCATTGATTTCTAAAGTTGATTTTGTTTTTAAAATATATTTATTTTTCATTTTAAGTATAATTGAAGTTGAAGATTGTTGTTGATCATCGGATAATTCCTTACGAAATGTTACTAATGTTTTTCCATTTTGCCATGAAAATACTAAACAATTTTTACCAGATACAATCATAGGTTGTTCGGAATAAGAAAAAACTGAAAAAAATCCAACACCAAATTGTCCAATAGCATCAACATTTGTATTTCCTTCAGCAATAGTTATAATTCGTTTCCAATCATCTTAACTAAATATATTTCCATTATTTATTGTACGAATTTCAGTTATTATACAATTATTAAAATTATTTTCAAATGAATATTGATTATTGAATAAATTATTATTTAAATCTTTATTTGAATTTATTGTATTTGTTTTCTGATGATTTTTTAATCGTTCTCCAATACCGGTTAAAATTTTCGACTTTTTTCTTTGATTAATGGATAAATGATCTTTATTAATCGATTCATAATTTATTTTTGCAGTCGATGGATCACAAGTTATTTCAAGAGTAAATGATGTTGATTGAGCATCATCTGAATTTTGAATTAATTCTCGATAAACAACAAATTCAGATGAATAACGTGCCAACATTTTATCAATTAACATTCGTTGATTAACTTCTACACGACCTGTTCTACCTTCATTCATTATTTTTAACCTTAATTCATCCGATGATAAAAATGTTTCAATATTTTGTTCATTCATTTTTCTTGTTTTATGAAAATCTTAAACAATTGAATTTTGAGTAAATAAAATGAAAACTATCTTTCCATGATACTTGAGCCTTTAGAAGCAATTTTCAAGAGCATTTTGAAATAGAAAATGAACTGA